ACTCATATTTAGAGCACCTGGGAAGTAATAGAGCCCACAGTCCAGGGCTCAAGTGCAGCTCCACCAAGCTGTGCGACCTTGGGCAAGCTGCCAGACCTCTCCGAGCCCCTGTCCACCCCCCCCCCACTGCAAAACGGATACAATAACTTTCTTTATGATATATACATAGAGGCTTTACGCAGTTCAGTTCGTGAAGAGCAGGACATGATGCACAACTGCCAATACCACTTCGACCTCCACGTGCTTCAAATGGCCCGGAGGAGGAGGGGCCATCGAGAACAGAGAAGGGTGGGCAGTCCTCCTGGCAGAGGGGAGGTTCAGGGTCGGGCCCTCATGTATTTGGCAGAATCTAGGATGAGTGGAAAGAAAGTGCCTGGAGGAGTCTCTGAAGCAGAAGGGACAGCAAGGTATTTTTGAATCAAGAAGAAACGAAAACTGTCGAAGAGAAAGAAATCGCGATCAGCATCCTCAGCTCTTTTCCCCAACCCAAGAGCTTGGCTCAGTCTTCTTAAACTAATATTTGCCTCTCGGCCCCTGGCAGCCACAGCTAAAGGTAAATATTGGTTTAGCCTGGGAAGCGGAAGCCCCAGATGGCAGTGTGGTCCTCGGCCAGCCAGAGATGGCTCGCGCTCTTCGTGCCACCAGGCCTGGACACGCCCCACAGGGGAGACCTGACCCAGGGCTGATCCACAGAGAGGCCTAGGCCTCCCCCTGCAGGACGGCCAGGCTGGCCCACCACCCAAGGGACTTGGCCCAGCAGCAGCCAGACCCTCAGAAAGCTTACCCCAGGAGACCCCATACATCTCCCTCCTCAGCAGGCAGGCGAGATCTTTTACCAAGACCTGGGAGCCTGGGCAGACGATGGGAAGAAACAGAATGCCACACACCCTTGGGAGCCCCCACCTAATGCCCTCCTGGGCTCAGCCACTACCACGTTGACGAGGCAATAAATCTCACGTTGACCCTATGACCAGATCAGCCTGGGAAATCCGAATTCAGGCCTGGCCTGGCTTCTGACTGGCGGGAGAGTTTGGGCAAGCCACGTTTCCTCTTACTGAAAACTTGACAGCCCAGAAGCTTCTGGAAAGTTTCTACTTTCAGAGATTCCCCCACCTGTGCACACCCCTTCTCCATAAGACACCCCACTACCTTTCTGCTTCATCCCTTCCCCTGAAGAATCTGATGCCTGAATGACTGCTAATTACCACCCCGCTCTGTTCCCATGCATACCCCTCCTGTCTGGCCTAAACTGTTCCTCCTCGACCAGTCCATTCTTTTTACCTCCTTGGGTTCCTGACTTGAAACTCATCTCCTACAGGAAGTCCTCCTGGATTGCTCCCCAAGCTGCACCGCTCCACCCCCACCCAGTTTTACTCTTCAGCCATACACTTATTGCAGGACTGGGTTTATATCACCTCAGGACAGTTACCTGGTGCGCCATCCCTCCACTGTAAGCACTCTTCAAGGAAAGGGGTTTCCAATTCTTGTGTCCCCCCGACCCCTGCACAGTGCCTAGGCTGTGGCGGTCACAGCGGGGTGCTCAGAAGCACCCTGTAAGTGAATCTTGGCTCACCAGCCTTCTGCCAGGACCCATGGCTGCTCTTGCAGAGCCAACATTTCTGAGACAAGCAGGGAGAGTTTGAAAAACTGGGATAGGAGCTTATCTTTCCAAGTATTATATTAATCACCCCATAAAACTTGTATTTATTTAGTTGCTGGCAGGTCCTTCTTCCTGGAGGTAGGAAGCTATTATTCTTGGAGAGACCAGCCAGGCTCAGCCGGCCAGAGCGCCCTGAGGGAAGAGGGCACTCTGCACAACGGGAGCCCAGAGGGCCTGGAGCATACTCAGCGGGCAGGGGCCTGGCGTGGGTGCCAGTGGACTCGGGCTGTGGTTAGGGCGGGAGCCGGGGGTGGGGCACCCGCCTGGAGGTGTCGGTCAGGGACAGGCAGCAGCACTGTCTCCACTCTGTCAGGGGAGATGGCCGATCCGTCCGTGGCCTTAACTATATATGCCAGGTACCCCAAATACCCCAGGTCTGCGGAGTGGACACTGCCCAGGTGGGGTTTGGAGTGCTTGGGCCACAGGTGCCAGAGAAAGGCAGGAGGGGAAGGGGCAGGCTTGGCAGGAAATCTCTAAAGATGAGACACTGGTTGGGGGAACCATCACGCCAGGAGAGACAGGCCTGTCCTCAGAGCCACCAAGATAGAGAGACGTCTTCAGAGGAGGGAGAGCAGGGAACCCGAGAAGCCAGAGCGGCCAGGGCAGAGGGACGGAGGGAGGCTCAGGAGGCCCCAGGCGCAGTGCAGCACAGGCAAGAGAAGAGGGGACATGGGAAGTGGGGGGAGGGAGGAAAACGGCCCCCGGGGGGCGAACCCAGAGGGCAGGCCACCAAACGAGGGCAGAGAAGGGCACGCCGCCGATATCCTGCACGTACCTCTTCTTTAAAAATGCACTTAGGAAGAACAAATGAAGACATTACAATCTGCTAATTGAATTTAGGGGCCATAATCGGTGTTTGAAAACGCCCAGGGATTGTGGTGATTTACAGCCGGGACGGGGATCAACTGGGGCCTTACGGCTATCGGGTGTGCAGAGAGGAGCCTGCCGGGAAATCCAATGAAACTAAAAATGCTGCATGAAAACCCATTTATAGTCAAAGAAGGGAATTGGGCTGGGTCAGGCAGGATGTCTGGGCTCTGCCCCAGGGTGGGGCCCTTCAAATTATTCTCCAGGCCCCTCCTTCAGCCTCTGAGATTTGGAAGCCCCATCTCACTTGGCATGTCCCCTGGATCTCCACTCCCCTTATTCCTCACTCCCCACCCCGCCACTCCACTGTCTCGGATTTTGAAGATGCGGCCTAAGCCTCCTCTTCCAAGAAGCCTTCCTGGACTCCATCCTCCCTCGCTGACCTCAGCCTCCTCTGACTTCCTGCCTCCCTTCAGGCTCAAACCCACTGGAGGGTAACTGGAAAGGCACTGCTTTTGGCAACAGAACACCCAGTTCAGGTCCCCCCTCTGCCACAACCCTACACAGGCAAGCCAGGTCTTCCCTGGGCCTCAATTCATCCCCAGTCAAGTGAGGATCAAAAGCACCCCCTCCAGGCCGGCTGCTGAGAGGTTAAATGAGAGCACTGGAGGGAAACCTTCGCAGCAAATGGAAGGGATCCTATGACCACACCATTTAGCAATTTACTGTTTGCTCTTCTGTTAGGTGCTGATCGCGTCTGGAGAGTTTGCTTTGTCTTCCCTAATTCCCAGTGGGCCCGGACCGTCTGCACGCACGGCCGGACGTACCTCACCCCCCTCACCCCCCCCGCACACACACCCTTACCTTCATCTAACAAGTCATCTCTCCACCGCAGCTCCCTTCCCTACCCACCCTGCAAACGTTCCCTGGCATCCTCCACACGCCCAGCACAAGACTCCACTCTGGAGAGGAAGCTGGCCGGTTGAGACATGGGCTCCTTCCTCAGGGCCCTCCCTGTCTTGTGTGGGAACAGACATATGGATGGACCAAGGCACGGTCCATGCCGCAGCACTTAGAGAAGTGCAGGCGCCACGCAGCGGGACACAAGGAACGGAGAAGAGAAGTCCACCCTGGAAGGCTTCAGGGAGGAGGTGGCTTATGAGCTGGGCCTTGAAGCCCAAGTGGGATTTTGGTCTTTGGGGACTAGGAGAAAGGGCATTCTTTGCTGAGGGAAAAGCAAGAATGTTGCCCCTCTTCCTTTACCCCCCTCCCTCACAGCAAGGCTGTGACTTTCTCAAAAGCTGAGACATTCTTCCGTCCCCCACCGAGTGGCCAAGCCCTGGGCTAAGTCCCATATTCCCAACCACTTTACAGATGAGAAGACTGAGCCTCAAACGGAAGTTTCCAGGCTGGAGCACCAACGCAAGCTTTGGGACCCCAGCGCCTTGAAGCGTGGGGCTCCGAGGACACCGGAGCAGCAGGAAGGGGCTCCCTTGAACCTCAGGTTAAGCACTGCCCACTCCATGGCGAGTGGGGATGACTGGCAGTTACTGAATACCTACTGTGCGTCAGCCGCACATAACTCAGCTCTCTGAGCCTTCAAAAGAACCCTGAAAACAGTTATTACTACCCCCCTTTTAGAGATGAGGAAACTGAGGTCTCATAGCGCTAGCTCTACGAATGGGGTGGGGCCGGGTCCAGCCTGCGTCTGCCTGACTCTGCAGCCCGGGAGCATGACCACTGCCCTTCCCGGCACCGGCCGAGGAGCCGGGCTGGCGCCCCATGCAAGTCACGGAGGCTGGGAAGCACGTTACCCGCGGGCGTCCTGGCGCCCTGCTGCGCCTGCTGGGACCCCGAAGAGCCTGACCATGTCCCTGTGACTGTGAACCCACTTTTCCTGAGCCGAAAACCAGAAACTTCCCAAACTATTAATTAATAAAACAGCCTCCCGGTTTTGGGAACTCAACGAACAGAAAGGCTTCTGACGATGACTTGTTTTTACATTCCCAGTCTCCCTCCTACCCCCACCCACCCCCACCTTTTCCACTCAAGTAAAGGTGCTTTGGAAAACGAGCCTCACTGCTTCCAGGCTCTGAAGTCAGAAACGGGAGAAAGAAAAGAAGTTTCTCGACCGCCTCCACGGCATTTTTCTCTGCAGGGATGGGAGACGGGGAGAGCGGGCGTTGGCGGGGCCCTCGCGCGGTACCCAGGACTGGACTGGGCACGTCACTTGCAGCCTCTTTAACTGAACTTATTCTCCCCACCAACCCGCTTTACAGGTGAGGGAGCCGAAGCTCACGCAGGCTCCTTCTGGGGACACACCGACCTGCCGGCGGGCGACCTGTACCCCGCGTCTCTGTGCACGCGAGCAGACGGGGGCGGGGCCTCCTGGACCGGGAGCCTGTGCGGGGCGCCTGTGCGGGGCGCCTGTGCGGGGCGCCCGGGGGCAGCCGGAAGAGGCTCCGCCCCCTTCGAATCTCAGCCCCTGAGTGTGTGCCCCGCACGGGAGGGGCCGAAGGGAGCGGGCACTCACCAAGCAGCTGGACGCCCCGCGTGAGGCCGTACACGTCCACCAGGGCCCAGAGCGGGTCGGCCGTGCGGACCCCGCTGAAGAAGAGCATGGCGGCCGAGTCGTTGATGCGGTAGAACACGCGGCCCTTCTTGTCCACCCAGAAGGCGATGATGTTGCCCTCGTTGGCAAACTCCTCGGGCAGCGCCTTGGCCCAGAAGCCGCTCTGAGAGACCAGGTCGGGGCAGGCGTACTTGGGCAGCGAGTCAGGGTGGATGCGGGAGGGGTCCTTGCTCGTGAAGCCCAGGCGCAGCGCCCCACTCCAGCAGCACTGCTTCTTGGTGATCTGGACGGTAGCGGGGTGGCCTCAGACAGCCCGCAGCCCGGCCCGGCCCAGCCCAGCCGCTCCCCCACTTCAGCGGGCCCCCGGGGAAGGGGGTGTGCCCTTCTCCGCAGACCACCCCCACGCAGACACACATGCAGACTCACACTGCCCAGCCTGCCACCATTTGGGCTCCTTTCCCTCCCCAGGAGGCTTCCCACCAGTCCGGCCAGAGCTGGTGGTCCCCACGACCACGGCCTCCCCACTTCCTTCTTTGCATGCAGGGAAGGTGGAGGAAGGAAGAAGGAAGAGGGGACGAGGAAGAGCGGAAGTGGCAGCAGAGAGGAAAGAGGAGATGCAAGGTGCAGCGACGGCCTAACAGAAGGCAGGGCCGGGGGAGGGGGGCGGATAGAGTTCAGGGGCCCCTGGGGGATGCAGTGACAGAGAGCGGGGAGGGAGGCCCACCTTCAGCCTGACTTGCTCGTAGATGAGGACCGGGCGGTTACTGAAAGTGATGGCGTTGCAGAAGCTGGCTTGCCTCTTGACGGCCTTGTGGCTGAGGTCCATGAGGATCTGGGAGCCCTTGGTGTGCGGGTGGAAGAGCAGCGGTGTGGCCAGCAGCACCCCGCCGGGCAGGACCGGCGGGCTGTGCTTCTGCTTGTGGTGGCATCGGTGAGAGGTGACAGGGAAGGGGCCCCCGATAGAGTCTGCAAAAAACCCAAAAAAACCAAAACAACACAGTGTCAGAGACTTGGCAATCAGAGAGCTGGACTAGGGCCTCCTAGGGAAAGGCAGACAGATGGGACATGAGCAGAAGTCACCCAGTATTCCCACCACCATGGCAGCCTACCACCACTGCCACCTTTTGCCACCATCCTCTTGCTCCATCTATTGCTATGTCCCACTTCATCACCCACCACCATTTACTATCCACCATCACCTACACTCATCCTCCCCCATCCTCCACTTACCACCTCTCCTCATCCTCCACCCAGCACCTCCCACCACCTCCCCTCATCCTCCACCCACCACCTCCCACCACCTCTCCTCATCCTCCACCCACCACCTCCCACCACCTACCCTCATCCCTCAGCCAGTACCTCCCACCACCTCTCCTCATCCCTCACCCAGCACCTCCCACCACCTCTCCTCATCCCTCACCCAGCACCTCCCACCACCACCTCCCCTCATCCTCCACCCAGCACCTCCCACCACCTCCCCTCATCCTCCACCCAGCACCTCCCACCACCTCCCCTCATCCTCCAACTACCACCTCCCACTACCTACCCTCATCCCTCACCCAGCACCTCCCACCACCTACCCTCATCCTCCAACCACCACCTCCCACCACCTACCCTCATCCTCCAACCACCACCTCCCACCACCTACCCTCATCCTCCAACCACCACTTCCCACCACCTACCCTCATCCTCCACACACCACCTCCCCTCATCTTCCACCCAGTACCTACCCTCATCCTCCAACCACCACCTCCCACCACCTACCCTCATCCCTCACCCAGCACCTCCCACCACCTACCCTCATCCCTCACCCAGCACCTCCCACCACCTACCCTCATCCTCCACCCAGCACCTCCCACCACCTACCCTCATCCTCCACACACCACCTCCCCTCATCTTCCACCCAGTACCTACCCTCATCCTCTACCCACCACCTCCCACCTCCCACCACCTCCCCTCATCTTCCACCCAGTACCTACCCTCATCCTCTACCCACCACCTCCCACCTCCCACCACCTACCCTCATCCCTCACCCAGCACCTCCCACCACCTACCCTCATCCTCCACTCACCACCTCCCACCACCAACACTTACCCTCATCCTCCACCCAGCACCTACCCTCATCCCTCACCCACCACCTACCCTCATCCCTCAGCCAGTACCTCTCACCACCTACCCTCATCCTCCACCCAGCACCTACCCTCATCCCTCACCCACCACCTCCCCTCATCCTCCACCCACCACCTCCCACCACCACCACCTACCCTCATCCTCCACCCAGCACCTACCCTCATCCACCACCTAGCACCTCCCACCACCACCTCCCCTCATCCTCCACCCACCACCTCCCACCACCATGACCAACAACAACTACCATCTACTCTTTCTCACTAGTATTTACTACCATCTACCTTCTACCATCGACCTTTGTGACAAACCAGCATTTACGAACAACATCTACCACCACACATTGTCACTCATCACCACCATCATTTATTTTATTCAATAAGTATCCATTATGTATCTGCTGAATACCAAGTCCTGCCCTAGGCACTGAAGACATTGGCATGAAACATACATGGACCCTGTCCTCAAGAAGCCAACAGTCCAGGAAGGGAGATAAGACGGGGACAGAAATCGCAATAGAAATGGTAGGCAGTGGTAAGTGCCAAGAGGACAAACAGGCAGGTCACGTCTCAGGAAGGCCTCCTGGTGCAGGGGAGAAGGGGGAGAAGGCATCGGAGCTGGATCGACAAGGCTGGGCCACCCCTGGAGACCAGGAAGGTGGGTGCAACAGACTTTGCGGCCCTGAGACCACACCCATCCCTCCCCTCCTTTGGGGCCACTTCCCTCCACCCCAGCTGCCTTTCTGCTTCTCCCGGCGCTGTCTGCGTCTTGGACACAGGTGGCCCCTTCACCCAGGCATCCTAACAGAAACACAACTCGGATCTGCCTCAAGAACCCCTGGCCAGGGAGCTTCAGCTCTTTCTCCTACAGACAGGGGCAGAGTACGGGACAGGGTTTGGTCCAGGAAAAGGCGCTTCACAAGCAGGTGAGGGTGGTGTCCAGGAGACAAGGCAGAGAGAGGGAAGAACACAGGACAAGCTGTCAGATGGCTGGCGTCTGCCAGACTGGCTGTGTGACCATGGGAAGTCACTTCCCCTCTTTGGCGCAATGGGTGGCCTCTACCCTGTGGCTCCGAGACACGTACCAGCATCAATGGCAGCCTTAATACACAGCCTTGGTGGCTGGGGCTTCCCTAAGATCTGTGCCCATCCACCAGGAAGAGCAGTCCCCTCCCACCCCATCCTCTTGAGGAGAGACATGGAGGAGAGGGAGATGAAGGTGGGGAAGTAGAAAGCCACAGAATATGACAGAGGCCTGGGATGTTTCAAATTCTGGAGAAAGTTTGGTCAGCATCGGGCCTGCCCAGAAGCCTACAGCTCCCTGAAGGGGAGGAGGGGCTGCCAGAAAGGAGGGGAAGACGGTGGGGGGGGGGGGCGGGGGTGGAGAGGGTGGGAGGAGGACTCCCAGATGTCAGTCAAGGCTGTGTCTGTACCACTTTGCACCACTTTGTTTTTTTTTTTTATTGTTGTTCAAGTACAGTTTTCTGCCTTTTTCTCCACTTTGCTTTTTTTGCTTCCTCCTTCCCAGAGGGCCCCAGACACCAGTGTCCACTCTCCAGGACCAAATGGACACCCTATGGCTCAACCTCCAGACCTCTGGAGCGGCTTCCTGCATGCCAGGCCCATGAGGTGGGGGAGGGGGCGTGGGGGGACACACTCTGCTGTGCTTTTACCAAGGAGACAAAACTGGAATAGCCAAACAGTGCTCAAGGGGTTCAACAATCACCAAGCAGTGAGAGCTGGAATTGCTCAGAGGAGACCCGGACAGTCTGGGAAGGCTACCTGGAAGAGGCTGAGAGGCCCCTGGACAGTGCACAGCAGGGGAGGTCATTACAGGGAAGGCGACAGTTGGGATGAAGGGCAAAGGGTGGCACTGGCTACAGGTGCCCTGCCTGGAAGAGGTACCCATTGGGTGTATGCCAGCCTCAGGCACAGCTGGACTCTTAATTTCAAAAAATACCTCTGGTAAAAGTTACTGTTACATATTGTTTAGGGATGTATACACAGGTAGAAATGGAAGCATTAAAAAATACCTGTTAGATGAATGGATTCATTTGGTACATCTATATAATAGAAGACTACTTAGCCATAAAAAAGAATGAACTACTGGTATGGGCAGCGACATGGATAAATTTCAAAATAATTACTCTGAGTGAAATAAGCCAGTTTAAAAAGTGCATACACAATTCACGGATCACCTGCAGGGCGTCCATTCCTTTCAAAACCCTTCCTCCCCCGCCACCCCCTCCCATCTGCATCAGCTCTAGGAAACGCACATGAAGCTCCAGTGAAAACAAGCGGATCGGTGCCTGGGGATGGTGGGGGGAGAGGTGGGGGGATCACCACGGGCACCAGGGGGCACAGGGGGTAATGGGTGCATTCACCATCTCAACTGTGGCGACGGTTCCATGAGAGTGTGCGTGTGTCACAACCCATTCAGTTGTACACTTTAAATACGTGTGGTTTCGTGTGTCAATCACACCTCAGTAAAGCGATTTTTAAAGACCTGAGCCAGGCAGCTGGTCAGAGCCTAACTCCCATGGGCGCCCCTTCCCCGCCTCTACTCAGATCCCACTCCGTGGACCAGCCGCCGGACCTCAGATTCCTTCAAAATGCTTCCTCTTCTCCCCACCTGCCCCACTCGGGGCCCTGGGCGAAGGCACAGAAACCACTGGCTCTGAGGAAATGTGGTGAGACACCCAGGGGCCAGAGGACCGGCCCTGGCAGGGTGTTCCCAGGGTCCCCCCTCCACGGGGAGGGTGCGGTGTGGGCGAGGGCAGCATGAACCCTGCCACCCTGGCTGACAGCACAACAGATGGAGAAGGGGACAGGGGACCCCTGGTCCCTGGAGGCACAGTGTGCACCCAGACCTGTGGCCTCAAAACGCACACTCACGAGCACACACGCACACCTGTGAGCACATGAAGGTAACCCGGACCCTAGAAGCCAGAGAAGGAAGAGACGTATCCTTTCCCTTTTCCCTCAGACCAGGAATCACGCCCTCCCACATGCCCTGTGCACGAGTCGGGGTTCATGGCCACATGGGCGTACAAAGCAGTGCACGTAAGGCACACACCCATCACACACGGCCACACCCACCTAATAACGATGGCAGCAATTATTGTTAATAAAGTGCCGGCGTGCGCCAGGCTGCGAACTGGGGGCTTCATATGCGCTCACTGGTTTCACCCCCTCGGTCAACCCACGAGGCAGGGAGGTGAGGGAGTGGGTGGATCCGAGCCTCAGAGACACTGAGCGGCCGGCGCAAGGTCGCGTGAAGCAGGAAGAGGCTCCGGGAGCCCAGGCGATCTGACCGCGGGGCTGTGCTTGGGCCATTCGGCAGTCGGAGCCAAGAAAGCACGGGTCTGGCGCGCCTGGCACATTTTTCAAATGTGCATCATAATATGGTCAAAGCTGGTGAAATGTGGAAACAGATGTTCCTCCATGTACCACCTGTAATCGTCACATGGAGCACACCATATTCTATCATATTCACTGTTATACTGCCTCTGTGATGCGTGTATCACCACCAAAACACAGAAATGCAAACCGTGTTTCATGCATTGTCCTCACACACGGCTGCTAGGATGCAGGCTGGTGCAGCTTCTTGTGGAAAATGGCTTGGCAGCTTCTCGTCAAGTTCAACACCCACAGCACGCCCCCGCAGTCACGCTCAGGGGCACTTACCCAAGAGAAATGAAAACATGCCCACACAAAGGCCAGTACATAAATGAACGGCAGCTTTATTCACAGTAACCAAAAACTGGAAACAGCCCAAATGTCCCTCCGGTGGTGAACGGACAGGTACACATGGTGACTCCGCGCAGCGAACGCCCCTCC